TAGCACAGTATTAGATGTTATTTGTCTATTATTTTTGCGTTCATCGGATTGCATGTGAGTTAAAATCAGGTGATCAATGATTAGCGATGCAAGTGGTGCGTTATTTATGCAGGCCACTGTATAGAACGAGTTGACTCGAATTCAAATGATTTTTTGATCTGCATGCGTCATAAATATCTTAAATCACGTGAATTGTTTTTTACATGTCAGCTCACCCACGATCGATTTTCCCTTCACGTGATTTATGATCCGATTTTCCAAGTCACAACAATTACCGCACAATTAAGGGTTAGGGTTGGAGTAAGGTTATACATAAAATTGTCTTCCCGTCATTTTTATTAGTGCTAAGCATCTATTTCCCGTATTTTCGCATTTGTTCATTTTCTTGTGCGGATTTGTTTTGCCGGGTTGATCAAAAATTCGCGCATTCTCATTGGCTTCGAGATCGTCAGGGATCGGAAAAATCGATATGGGAATTGTTGCAATTGGACATATCCAATTCCAATTGAGAACACTTGTCGGCATCACCGTTAGACACGGCTGCAATCACTTCCTCAATATATGTTTGTGGAAAAAAATGAGTAAACTTAAAACACATTACTCACTGTTGGCTGCAGAGCAGAGTTTTCCCTTATGACTTTCCTTGCAAGGTTGAAGGAATTTCCTCTGGTGCACTGAAAGAAAGGATATTGCGAGCTTCTTAATGCGTATTTTCAGAGCGGGTTGTGAGGAAAGAGGTTACTCTGTGCCCGCTGAAAGCTTTCTCTAGCGCCTAAATCCACTGAGCAACATACACACGAATGTTGATCAATGAAGACTTTTGTACAATCTTGTGAATACGAGATTGATCTCCGTGTATTGTGTTTAAATTAACTTTTGTTAAGAATAAAAAATTGAATCCCATTTTGTTATTGTTTATTACAAAAATGACATCACCAATTCCAATAAAACTCGAGACCGATGTCGCACGACGTGAATTTATTGATAAATTTGATGCTTTGTTACTTGATTGTGATGGTATTCAATTGTTACTTGCATTTTTTTATTTGATCATGTTAATACATCATCAACAATTACAATTACAAAAGGTGTAATATGGGACGGGGAAAAAGTTTTACCTGGAGTGCGCGAGACATTAAAATATCTTCGAAGTAAAGGTAACAAAAAGTTTAATTATCAAATCCCAAAATTTTCGATAATAAATGTAAAATCAACATTAAATAATTATCGATGATGGGGAAATCCAGGCAAACAACTTTTATTTGTCTCGAACAACAGTTCAAAGTCTCGAGATGCGTATCTCGTGAAATTTCAAAAACTGGGTATTGAAGCTCATAAGGTGCGCATAACTCTTAATGTGGTTTTTTAAAGAAAACGTAACAATGAATGGATATCCAAAAAAAAAATATAGGACGAGATCTTCGGTTCTGCATATACATCAGCTTACTACCTAAAAAATGTGATCAACTTTTCAACCGATAAGAAAGTCTATGTGATCGGTGGATTAGGCATCACTGATGAACTAGCAGTTGAAGGAATTCGGTATAGTGGCTCTACAGTAGGAATAATATTAATTAAATGACTATTTTTTTTGGTTATTATATATATTATGGATTATTTGTGTTGAAATACTTGTATGCTTTTTTATTTACTAAAAAATATAAAGGCAGACAATGAATCTCTGAAAAGCATGGATTTCAGTGAATTAGTACCAGATCCGGAGGTAGGTAGATAATAAAAAAAATCGTTTTTTATTGATCTCATTTTAAACTTTTGCCTACCTAAAACAAATAAAGGTCGGTGCTGTTCTTTGCGGATTTGATGATCATATCAACTATAGGAAACTTGCAAAAGCCTTCACTTACCTCCATTCCAACTCGAATTGTCTTTTCTTATTGACAAACGATGACACTACGTATCCTTTAAATGGATCGCTTCTTCCAGGTAAGTAAAATGATTCAACCCGATCAATTATTCAATCTGACAAAATACAATATTTTTAATAATCAAAGGATCAGGATCTCTCGCCGCACCACTAATCACGGCTCTAAACCGAAAACCCGATTGCGTAATAGGAAAGCCAAATAAACCAATGCTAGACTGCATCATGAAAAAGTTTCATCTGAACGTTAAAAGAACCTGTATGATTGGTGATAGGCTTGATACTGATATCCAGTTTGGCATTAATGGTGGCATCTTCTCGCTGTTGGTGTTGACGGGCGTTTCAAAAGAAAAAGAAATTCTTGCTAATGATGCTCCGATCGTTCCCAATTATTATGTCGAAAGTCTTGGTGATTTTGCGACAATTATTGAATAATGATTTTTTTAGACATAATATTTAACGATTTTTTTATTAAAACATAAAATGCTCCGAATAAATCCCTAAAGAAACCGTTTTTTTCTATTAAAAAAATAATAAAGGCATTTCAGTTGTGCAAGAGACAAAACAAGCAAATACCAATAGTGTTAAGAAAATTATGCTGCGGTTCTATATGTGGTATAGTGACATACGCGTCTGGTCCATGAAGATATAAGGGAACACTCACAGAAATGTTCAGTGTAAGTGTAACAAGAAGTACAGGCAGGCCGAAGAGCAATTTAGTCGTGGCATTCAATTAATAGTTAATCTCCATATCCCAGCGAATTCAAACGGCATATACTACTATAACTGCATGTTATGCACGTAATGATCGGGTTCTCTCACTATGCTGGTTTAACACGTTCTTGCACCTAGTCAACTACCTGAATTACTACAGCGACAAAAAGATTTAGAACCATATTCAACTAGCATAGATAAAGGATAGCCATTTTGGAAATGTTAACAAAAACGAAGATTACGGTTTTTCAACACAGAATACATAGAAATATGCATCTTTAACCCTTTGCGGCGGTCCACGCCCGTTTTGCGCGACACCACATGAAAATTCTACACTATTACACCTAATCTTAATAGCTAAGCTGCTTTGATTTTCGAGTTAGTTATATACGTGACGGACGATGAATTTTGAGTTTTGCATATTTGGAATGTTAACGCCTTAGCGCGATTAATCTGATATCTTAAACACGTGAATTATTTATAATTTAGAAAATCGTTCAACATCACAATAACATCCTCAAACTCTTAAATTAATTTATTGACTCGAAAGAACGCTCGACGCGTTTTATACTTTAATATCATTCAGAGTTGCGTAATTGAGAAAGAGATAATTGAATTTGTTCATCCATTTACAAACTAAAAAATTCACACCTATATAGCACAAAATGTCTTTAGATAAAGCCACTATAAGCTGCGCACCAATATCAAATCAACCGTTTTCTACACCCTTACATCCATTTCCCGAGTTGAATTTCTTCACCTCGCCTATCGCATATCTTTCAAACTTCTCTCGCCGCCTACTCATTAAAATATTGCGCCAGGGCCCAATACCACAACATGTAGGGTTTGTGATGGATGGAAATCGAAGATTCGCGAAAAAAATTAATGTGCAAACTGGAGAGGGACATTACATGGGATTTCAAAAACTGGAGGAGGTTAGTGTTGATTGTAGAAAGTAAACTATTCACATGAAGAGGGTTGCAATTGTTTTTGTAATTGAGTACGCATTTTTTCAATTACCTTAGTACGGGTGTACGCGCTTAATATTATTCTTTGATTTGATTTGATTCTTATTTTGCTTTTTATATATAATTTAAAAAAGGTTCTCGAACTTTGTTTAGAATTAGGCATAAAAGCAGTGACTGTATACGCATTTAGTATCGAGAATTTTAAACGACCCAAGGAAGAAGTCGAAACTTTGATGAACCTTGCGCGTAACAAATTAAGAGAATTATACGAGAACAAGTATGTGGTTATTTTATAAAATTATTCTAGAAAGACATCATTCATCATGAAAATATTCTCAACATTATATGCAAACTTACCTTCAAATCAGTGATGTGGTAAGTAAGTATGGAGTTTCTATACGTGTATTAGGTAATAGATCTCTTTTGCCTGAAGATTTGCTGATCGAGATGGAAAAAGCCGAGGATTCTACAAAAGAAAATAATAGGTAAATTTTATTAGGAATTTTTTTTCTCTTTAAGAAATAATAGAATTAACTCGGTAGTTCTCCGATGTAGAACTATTCTTAATCTGTGTTGTCCGTACACGTCACGAGATGAGATAGCTACGGCAGTTAGAAAGGTAGTAAAACAAGTTGAAAAGGGGGAAACTAAGATCAGGTGGATTTCAGTCGTATAACTCGCAATTAATTGAGTTTGTGAATTTTAGAAAAGTAGTTTCTAATTTTCTTCCTTTCTCTTAGTGAAATTGACGAAAAATTATTAGACTCAAAATTATATACAAACGGATGTCCGCCATTAGAAGTTCTAATTCGTACTTCTGGCGAGATCCGTTTGTCTGATTTTCTATTATGGCAGGTTTGTCTCGTGATATTTCGAAAACTTTATCAACTAAATTGCCTTCTCAATCAGGATTCTAATTTTATCTAATCAAATTTTTAAGTGTCATGAAAAATGCAATATTCATTTTGTCAATTGTTATTGGCCAGAATTCGGTTTGTGGGAGATGTTACCAATTATATTAGATTATCAGCGTGGCTTTTTGGGTCAAAGATAATTTATTTATTTATTGTATTTGCGAACGTAAATTCACAGTTTTGTCATTAATAATCTAGACTTTGAACATCGTTCTTAGTGCATAATTAATGGTTTATATAATTTTGTTATTCACCCTGTTACGCAATTATTCGATCCTCTATAATTAATTTCAACATTTACTAAATATGACAAAAAAAACTTGGATCTGAATCATAAATCTTCTCAGTGATAAAGTTGTATCATTTTCTTATAGAATCCTTGGATGAATTGTAGAATAGTTATCACATACAAAAAAAAGTGATGATTTAAAAATATCACATCATAATTGTTAATTTATCACATATAAACTCTTTGTTTTAAATAAAAATAATTATCAATAATTATTATAATACAGAGCCTGTTAAACAATCAGGTAATTTTATTGAATGATTATTTTTACAATTTCTATTATTTTTATATTTTATAGCTTCAAATTCATCTTGTCTATTATAATAAAAAAAATTTTCAAATCTTTATATTTTTGAATAATTATAAACAAAAATTATAAATTAAATTTCTAAATATTATTATTTCTTTTTATCTCTTCTTTTGAATCAAATGATAATAGATATGATATATTTATATAATGTAATAAATATTATTTCATATAATATATAAAATGTTATTTATATGATATATAATATGATATATTCACATAATATAGCAAATTTTGATTATACAATCATTATTTTTATGTTATTATATAAGCTCATCAATATTTAAATAATATGTTCATGTTATAATAAAACTTTATTTCATTATGTTGTTACATATTGACAAATAATTAGAAGATTTTATATTGATCAAAAATTAACTCTATATATATATAAAATATTACATATTCTAGAAAAATTAATGAATTATTAATTTTTTTGTTTATTATTTACTTGTTAATATTTATAAGAAAAAATTTAATTATTAATTATTTAAATTATTATTATTTATTTTATTTTTGTAAAACTCACATTATATAAAAAAGTAATAATTTAAAAATATTACATAAAAATTCTTATTAATTATAATATCTTATAATTTGTAATTTCTATAAAAAAATTTTTCAATTATATTAGGTAAAAATCTAGTTTTTTACATGAAACTATTTTCTATTTGGAAAATTTTCCAAATAGAAAATGAATTCATGTAAAAAATCCAGTTTTACTTTAGCAAAAATTCATTTCTATTATCAAAACAAAAATGATTTTTAAGAAATCTAATATAATTTCATTTTTTTACTGAATAAAAAATGAATTCATATAAAAAATTTGGTTTTACTTTAGCAATCTGCTTCCATTGTTGAAATAAAAATAATTTTTAAAAAATTTGATATAGTTCCATTTTTTTTACTAAATAAAAAATGAATTCATATAAAAAATCCAGTTTTACTTTAGCAAAAATCTGCTTCTATTGCTAAAATAAAAACAATTTTTAAGAGATCTAATATAGTTCTCTTTTTTTTAAATTATAATTTTATTAATAATAATTAATAAATTATTAATAATTCTAAATGATTATTTAAATTATTTATTGATATTAATTATAAAATATTTGATTTTCTTTATATTTGAATATTTTAACTTTTGAGAAAATAGTGTATTACAATATATTTAAAGATACTAGTATCAATAATAAAATCAATTATAATTCTTTTAATCTTTGCATTATATCAAGTTAAAGTTATTTTCATATTTTGTTTCAAGATTCCAGCTTTTTTCTAAGATAAATTTAAGGTAATTTTCTGAGAGCTTTTAATATTTTAATTTGTTGAATAAATGAAATTTTAATTAATTGAGTCATTGTAATATTGGTTTTCATATTGATTAAGTCTTTAGTAATATTATATAGAATAGCTTTTGTAATAAGAACTGGAAGAATTGCTTTGTATTTCTTTCACTTGGACTTGATTTTTTCAACATTTTCTAATATAGAGATATTAAAAGAATTTGCTTTATATATATTATTATTTTTAACAAGAATTATATTATTTTTTTCTTCACTTTTAACTTGTTTACTTTTGTTTTGAGTAACAAATTTTTTTTCAAGTGAATTATATTGTTATAGTATATTTTATTTCTTATATTTTATTGAATAATGAGTTAGTTTATTTTTATTAAACATTTTATATAATATATTTTATTGAACAATATTTATTTATAATTTTATTGATTATTTATTTTTGGCTTATTATTTATTTATATATTGTGTATTAATATAATAGATATATTAAACTTTTAATATTTTGAATAGTTGATCTTTAAAGATATCGAATCATTAATATTTTGAACTATTAATCTTTAGAATTATAGAATTTTTACTAGTTTAGTATTATAAATATTTAGAAATTTTTATTATAATTAATCTTATATATAAGTAACACTTTATTTAATAGCAAAAAAAATCAAAAAGTTAACAAATTCTTAATAAATTTGTAATAAGATTTGAACTTAGATCTTAATAAGTTAATTATCTTGATAATTTTTCTTTGATTTTGATTATAAACTTGAAATAGTCTAGTAATATTATTATTTTTGTATTATATATTTATATAATCTATATGCAAAGCACCAAGATAGCAATAGTGAAAAGTATAATAATAAAGAAGCTTTATTAATAAAAATTATCTTGAACTCATTATAATTATAATGTATAATCTTTATAATAATAAACTTAATTTAATTCATT